GAGACAGAATCTCACTTTGTTGCCCAGCTAGAGTGAGTCCGCCATGGCATCAGCTAGCTTACAGCAACTCAAACTCATGGGCTCAGCACTCCTGCTTGCTTAGCTCCTGAGTAGCTGGGACTCGGCAGTGCACAGCCTGCCTATTTTTCTATATATATTAGTTGGCGCATTACTTTCTTTCTATTTCTATAGTAGGGGATGGGGTTCACATTCTTCTCTCAGCGCTGGATTTTGAACTCGACCCTCGAGCACCCCTCTCCACCATCGCTCCTAGAGATACGCAGAGATCTCAGCATGAGCAGCACTCCTGGCTGAGGAGGCCTGTCATATCATATTAACAAAAAACAACAGGGAGGCATGAATATAGCACAGCTGTAATTCATAGGCCTTCACAGAGCTATATATATGAGTTGAGGCTGTAATGGGCTCTGATCTATACACTAGCTCTACAACAGAGACACCAGACGACACACATCTCAAACACCCACAAAGAACACCCACACACACACATATCTCATATCTACGTTGAGAATTGGCCAGCGCGGTGGCCAGGCTGTAATCTAGCCTCTGGAGGCGCGGCGCGATTGGCTCACGTCAGGAGTTCGACGACAGCTGAGCAGAGCGAAGTCCCTATCCTCACTCAAAACCAAGATTTAATGGTCAACATAAATATATACGAAAAAATAGCGGGCATGGTGGCACATGCTGTAGTCCAGCTACTTGGAGGCTGGAAGGCTGACAGAGGTTGACTAATGGAGGGACTAGTTTTTATGATAGGTGAAGTCTGAGAAAGCGAAATTTGAGCTGACAGCTAGTAGGTTCGCTAACCACCTGGATACCTGGAGGGTTCCAGGCAAAGAGAACAGCAAGCACAAAGGTACTAAAAGGGAATCAGTATTTATAAAAGCCACTGTTTGGGTTTGGGAGGAGAAAATAAGGGCAATTATGTAAAAGACACTTTAACCTTTTAAACTCTAGAAAAGGAAACCTTAGAGCCTTGCCACATCTTAATTTGGTAGAATTTTCTTAATCTGAGGTCACTGGAGGTTCAGAAAGGCGACAACCTGGGCCCTTACTGGGGGCGGGGTATCTGCAGGTGGGCTCAGAAAGCCAGAGACCTCCTTCACCTGTCTGAAAAAGTCTGTGTTTAACTGCATTTTTCTGGACTATGGACCTGTAACTTTCGGCGGTCTGCCACGGACCCCTGAGACCAAACCCGAATGTAGGCCTCGCCCAATGCTAGATAGGAGGGAAAAAGGAGACGCAGTTTCCCATCCTTAAAACAGGCAAGACCAACGCCAAGACCGAGGAGCTTTAATAGCGGGACGTGGGACGCGGGACTAGCCTCTGGGCAGGGGAGAGGGCGGCGGCGGCCGGCGGAGTCAACTGTGGCAGCAGAACAAGCGCACGTCGTTCAGCGCTGTGTCATCGCGGAGGCCTCTAGGGGACTCGATCTTGGTCTGCAGGCCGCATGAGCCTTTCGGGCAGGCGTCGCTCCAGTCTCCAAACTCTCCCCAGCTCAGCCCAGGCCCCTCCAGCTCCGTGCCGTCTGAGCAGCGGAAGCGCACGTTGTTCGCTGCTGTGTTGTCCCCGGGGGTCGCGGGTATCTCCACGCGAAGCGAGAAGGCCACTAGGAAGCCGCCGCCGGGACACCACAGCGGCTCACTCCACGTGCCCCACCTGCAAGAAAAAGGAAGACGCGATAGATCGATTTGTGGGCGCCCCCCACCCACCGCCAGACCGATCCGGCCCTTGGGACTTTCCAAGCCAGGTGCTACAAGACCCCGAGGGTTGGATCTGGCCACCAGATGCTGGGGGCGTGCGGGGGGGAGAGGTCTTCCATTCACACCCGTCCCCCAAACCCAGGTCTAAACTGCCCTGTAGCTCTGGAAGAGCCTGCCTGCCAGGAGGGGGGGCGTGTGACAGGGGATAAAGGACACACCGTCACCCTAGGGGATCCTTGACCCCTGGTCCCCACCTTCCAGACTGGGACTCCACCACATGCGTGTTGCGCTGGGCATTCCCGCGCGCGCAGTGCAGCCGGATCCCGTTCAGAGCTGTGTCGTCGCCAGGGATGCCTTGGGGGGGCTCCACCTGGGTGGTGAGGAGGAGTCAGGGGACTGCCATCCTTGGGTTGGGGGGGCCGCGCACCTCTGCCCCCTCCAGGCCCTAGGCCTGAGCCCCCACCTTGATCGAAAAGCCGCTGGCGAAGAATCCGACAGGACACATCTCAGGCCAGGCCCATTCTCCCCAGGGACCCCCGTTGGTCACCTCGATTACCGACGTGTAACCGCTTGGGCCATCTGGCTGTGCACATCTGCTGCAAGTCGCCCACAGCAGCAGCAGCAGCTTGGCTCCCGCGCCCCGCTCCATCCTTCAGCGGCTGGGAACCAGGCCTGTTAAGCAGGTGTATATCAGTTCGGCTCCTACGAGGGCTCCGATTGCGGAAGGACCTCTCGGATTAAGTGACACCCAAAACTAATCCGCCGCTGGAACCCCGCAGACTCCACTTCCTGCTCGAGGAGGCCTAGGCTCCCAGTGCTAGGGGAGGAGGGGCAGTGAAGGCAGGTGAATTCAAGTAACTTTCACCTACTGAGGTTTACTATAGCCACGAATTGTGGTTAGCGCTTCACAGCCGTGTTTTATTTAATCCGCACAATTTTAGGAGGTGAGAATCACCCTTCCTATTTTGTAGTTGAGGGAACTGGGGGCTCAGAAATGACAAGCGACTTGCCCGAGGTTACAGCCAACAAGCCTGGAAACATTCCAGCTCTGGGAGCAGAGACCAGGACTAGGAATAGAAGTGATCTCACGGGATCCCCTCCAGGGACAGGACTGGTCAGAAGCAAGGGACCTCCAGTATGTGAAGAGGCATCAGAGTGGGAATAGGGCCTGAATCCATGAACTGTAGGAGCTGAGAAGGGTCTTCATAGAGATTGGGGCCCTGACTCCTAGAGAATCTGGAGGTTCTTCCCACCCCCAGAAGAAAATTTGCACAGAGAGAAAGAAACAATTCTAAGAAGTTCAGGGACAGGGGACTAAGAATTCTTAAGAACAGATTAAGCTGCCGGCCGGTGGTCACGTTAATCTGGAACTCTGGGACCGAGCAGCTGTTGGCTCGAGGTCAACTGAGCAAGAGTGAAACCCTGTCTCTACTATAAATAAAACAAGAAATTTAATGGGCCACTAATATATAGAGGAAAAAATAGGGCATGTCGGCTACATGTAATCCCAGCTACTCTGGGAGCTGAGCAGCAGGATTGCTTGAGGCCAGGAGTTTGGAGGTTGCTGTGAGCTAGGCGTGATGCACGGCACAATCACTCTAGCTGGGCCGACAGAGTAAGACTCTGTCTCAAAAAAAAAAAAAAAGAAACAGATAATGCTGTGTGGTGATGGCTGATGCCCCTGCTAATCCTAACACTCTGGAATGCCAAAGCAGGTGATTTTTGATCAGGAGTTCCAGACCCACCCTGAGCAAATACGAGGACCCTGTCTCTACTAACAATATAGAAGAACTAGCTGGACAAACTAGATAGATAGATAGACAGGATAGATTACAGCACACACAACATATAATTTACCCACACTAGCACTCTGGGGAGCTGGAGGCGGGAGGAATCCTCTAGGTCAGGGATTCAAACCAGCCTGAGCAAGAGCTGAGATCCACTTCTTACTATAAAATAGAAGAATTAATTGACCAACCTAAATATATATAGAAAATTAGGCGGGCATGGTGCCCAGCCCTGTCAGTCCGCAGCTACTTGGAGCTCTGACGATATGTTGTTAACCCAGAAATAGGTTGCTGTGATAGGCTGGATGGCCACAGCACTCACGTTCTGCCTACCCAAAGAGTGAGGACTGTCTCAACAAATCAAATTTCAGAAAAATAAAACAAACATAAATAGATAATCAATTAGTTGGACATTTGCCGGGACATCCTATTAGTCCACGGCTGACTCATGAGGACTGGAGGACAGGTATTGCTTGTAAGTCCAGGAGTTTGAGGTTGCTGTGAGCTAGGCTGACACCATGGGCACGTCTGCCCAGGCAACAGAGTGAGACTTGTCTCAAAGAAAAACCCCAGATTGGCCGGCGTGGGTGCTCACGCCTGTAACCTAGAACTTCTGAGGCCGTAGGGTGTGGAACTAAGGTCAGGAGCTTCGAAACCAGCCTGAGCGCCCGAGACGCTCCTCTACCCAAAATGAAATACAACTCTAATTGACCAGAACTAAAATATATATATACAAAAAATTAGCCGGGCTAGGTGCGAGCATGCCTGTACGTCCCAGCTACTCGGAGGCTGAGGCCAGTAGGATCGCTGACCCCGGAAGATTGAGTTGCTGTGAGCCAGGCTAATGCCACGGCACTTCACTTCTAGCCTGGGCAATCCAAAGTGCAGGACTCTGTCTCAAAAAAAAAAAAAAAAAAAAAAAAAACCCAGATGATGACTGTGGTTTCTTCCATTGCATTCTGATACCTTGGATATCTGATTATCCAGAATGCCTTCCCCGCATGACCACTAGGTGGACTCCTAATTTGCAAAACAAAAAACCCCCAAAAAACTGGCTAAAATTGACAGGGCCACCACCTTTGATTTACCTGCCCCTCATACACATTCCTTTGTTTCAATACATTCAGTACATGTTTATTTATCAATAATGTGTTTTGGCTTAAGCAATATTCTAAGTGCTATAAGAAATCAAGAAAGACAAGGCCAGTGTCTTCATCAGACCTCACATTCCAGGAGGGAAGACAGATGATAAATTCTCTCCCAATGGACCTTGAGCTCTGTGAAGGCATTTTTTTTTTTTTTTTTTTTTTTTTGAGACAGTGTCTCACTTTGTCACCCTGGTTAGAGTGTGGTGCACTGCAACCTCAAACTCCCGGGCTCAAGTGATCCTCCAGGTCAGCCTCTCAAAGTGGTAGGATTACAGACATGAGTCACCACGCCTGGCTGAAGGCACTTCTGTATTCTTGAGGTGTAGTACAGGGCCTGGCTTGTGGCAGTAGTTATAGGTTGGTATAATAATGAATGATGGAGGAGCCAATCTGGAGTTTAAAAAATTAAACCACAAAAATGTAAAAGGATAAAGCCTAAAGTAGATGATTGAGAGGTCATGTATCCAAATCAAGACAAAGCACCCCAGGGATATGGGAATTTGGAAGTGGGTGTTCCCTGGATCCTGGAGGTCCCCCAGTGCTTGAAGTTTAATAAGTAAGATTTATAGGGCAATTGTGGTCAGCCTTTTCATTCACAGTGTTTTCACATACATTGTCATTTAATCCTCATACCAGGCTTGCAAAGCACCTATTATTATCTTCAGTTTACAATGGGGGGAACTCAAGGCCAGAGTTAACTTAGGGCCCACACCATTGCTCAGTTAAGGGAGCTGGTTCTGATCCCTGCCTCTCTTCCCAATACCCAAGCTGCCCTTACTATAGCCGGCTCTACAGGGAAGGGAAATACAGAGACCTGTCATTGCCACCACAGAATCCCCCAAATTCCCTTAATCTGGTCCCTCACACGCAGGGTAGCTGCCCTCTAGGGCAAAGGGCACAGGGAAGGGGGGGCCCCAGGAGGTTAATTATTAACCCTTTGAGCCTCAGGGCACCACAGGCTTCTCTCCCCTCCTGGAGACAGAGGGACCCAGACTGGCCAGGGGCTGGTGGTCCCAGCCGCAGCCATGGGGGTCGCCGGGGGTCCCCTGGCCCGGCAGCACTGTTTCCGCCACTCAGTTCCTATCACTATCTTCCTGCTGCTGCTTCTTTATCTCAGTGCTCGGATCCTGGGTGAGTGTCCCCTTCCCTCAGCTGCTCCTCGGAGGAACTCAGTAGTCCAAGCCCTGCTTCTCAGGTGCTCAATGATCCGCCTCTCCTCAGGCACCCTCTCGGGCTGCGGATCCTGGGCACAAGCCTGCATTCCCGAGGGACCGCCACCTTTCCAGGTACGTTCAGGGCAAGGCTAGGCGTGGGAGCTCCAGATGGAACCCTGAAAGGGGGGACGTGGAGCCAGGCTGAGCATCTGGGGAAGGGCGGTACTCCCCCTCCTCTTCCCTCTCCCATCCGAAGCTGAGGGTACCGCAGGAAGGACACCAACTAGACAATTTCTTCAGAGTCCGACTATGCTGCTAGCTAGTAGGTCCCACAGCCTAGAGGCTCTGCTCCCCGCCCCCTTCCTCTCCTGTCTACCCCCCAGGGCCAGCAAGAGTTGGGAGCCCAGGTGCCCCAACGGTGGAAAGAGCCTTCCTGTCTGGAACCTCAGGGGATGCTGGGCCGCATGATGAGGCCATTCCGAGCCAGTCTGAACCCCGCAGGGGATGTGGAGTTGTCGCAGTACTTGGCAGGATGGAGGGAACTAGTCAAGTGAGTGGTCTCCCTCCCGCAAGCCAGTCCCCTCCTCCTTGTGGTTCCGTCGGCCTCTCCCAAATGGTCTCTCCCATCCCACCACCAAACACACAGGCTCCTAACTCCCTTGGGCTCCATCTTCACCTTCGCCACAAGCGAGGCCTCCACCAAGGTGACGGCCCTCGAGGCTCGGCTGCGCGGCCCAGACGCAGAGCACTACACTTCGCTGGCGGCCATGGTGGCGTGGGAGCGGCGGGCCGGCCTGCTGGGGGCGCGCCGGGGCCGTCCCGGGGACTCCGGCCCGGCCCTCGGGTCACGCACGCTGCTCTTGGCACCGCTGCGCCGCGTCCCAACTTGCCTCCACCGGTGGGCCGACCGGGGCGCTCGGAGCCCGGACGCCGGCGCGCAGTGCAGCGACGCCTACCGCACGGCCCTGCCCCGCACCACCCGGGCCACCGTCATGCTGCCCGCCTCGCCTCCCCGCCTTCCCCGGCCGCGGCCCGCCTGCTCCAGCTGTCGTGTCCCAGGAACACACGGAGGCGGAGGCCGCGGACCGCGCGGCCCAGGCACCGCACCCTGGAGGATCACAACCGCACACCCAGGCGCATGCCTGGCCGAGCTCGCCGCTGCAGCTGCCTGAGGAGGGCGCTGCCAGGGACCGGCCCGGGAAGGAGCCCCAGGGGCAGGGCCAGCGACGCCCAGGCGTCACAGGGCTGGCGCCTAGATATCCGCTCTCTAGTGACCCACCACGGCCTGAGGCCCGCCCCCGGCGGGCATGACTTGAGTCTCCCCCTCTGTCCCTCAGTCTCCAGAAAGATGGAGGAGCCTGTGAGAAAAAAATTGTTATTGACCAGCTGTCCGACTTAAGAACGTTTGTGTGAGACAGCAGGCGCTTTAAGGGAAGAAAAACGAATAAAGGTGGGAAGATGCGGGGGTGTCCCCCTGTTCCCACCAGGCCGAGAGACTCACGCTACCTCTGGCCTATCTCAGCCACTCCCAAGTCCGCAGCCAGACCTGTCCCCTGAGCTCCCACCCCTCACAGTCAACTCTTTCCTGGACACTTGCAGACACGCAAAATGCAACATTGGTGCAACATAATCCTTGCCAACTCCCCCCAGAACTGCACCACCTCTCTGTCCTGTTTCTGTAAATATAAAAATGGTAACTCTCCCTTAAATTACCCAACCCCTAAAACCTATGCGTCATGCCTCCACACAAGCAAGTGCTCAGATAGAGATGTTTAATTTAATGATCCCTTGGCCACTCCCATAAACAATAATGAACAGAACAGAGCTTTGACCATTTCATACACTGATAATTCCCAAATCATAACTCCAACCACTTCTCTGGATTCCCAAATCCTACATACTACAACTGCCAGTCGCATTTTCCACCTTGATGCAACTAGACCATAGCAAGCGTAACAGTTCATAAGCTAAGTTCTCTAAACCCCTACCACCAAAGAGCTCAACTTCCGTTTCTTGCTGGCTCCGTAATACCAACGCTCATTCTCCACTCCTTAGAACAAAAACTTTTTCATCTTGACTTTCGCTCTCTTATCACACCTGACATCGCAAGAACTGAAAACCTAAACCATTTCGCCACATTCTTCCCACTCCTCTAGACCTTCCAATGCCCAACCTAATATACACCTAGATATTGCAAACTTCTAAATTGGTCTCTCCTGCCCAATCCTTCCCCTCCCTTAAGTATTTTTTTTAAGACGTATTATGGTGGTACAAAGTAGTTTAGGTTACCTTATATGCCCATGGCCCCCCCTCCTCCCCATAATGTATGTTCAATAAGCTCAAAAGAACCTTAAAGTGTATGGATACATATCATTTCCCTGCTCAAAATCTTCGATGAGCCACCGCTTGTAATCCGTAGCACGCTGTGAATCCTAGCACCTAGGAGGCCGAGGCGGGTGAATCACTCCAAGTCAGGAGTCGAAACAGCCGAGCAAGAGTGCGACCCCTGTCTCTACCAAAAAAGACAAACAAAGTGAATTGCCAACACCAATATATATAGAAAAAAGTTAGCCTGGCATGGGGCCATGCCTGGTAGTCCCAGCTACTTGGAGCCTGAGGCCAGTAAGGAAATCGCTTGAGCCCAGGATTTGAGTGCTCTGAGCTAGCGACGCAATATGGGCACTCTAAAGCCTGGGCAACAGAGTGAGGACTCGTCTCAAAAAAAAAAAAAAAAAACTCCAAGACTTCTATTGCACTCCCAACAAAATGTTAAAGTTAAGCGATGTAGGAGCATAGTTTTGAGTGAAATGCCTGGGTATAGGATCCTACATTATCTGCTCTAGCCAAATTGACCTTCTCAGTAATCATTGAGCATGCCAGACATGCTCCTGCCTCAGGATATTTACACTTGCCATTCCTCTGTCCAGAATGGTTTTCCCTCAAATACACAAATGGCTTCCCTCCTTAAGCTACAAAAAGAAGAGCAACTAAACTAAAGAAAAGAGAAGAAAGGAAATTAATAAAGATTAGAGATAAACCACACAGAGAATAGAAAAACAATAGAGAAAAATCGATGAAACCAAAAGTTGATTCTTTGAAAAGATCAACAAAATTGACAAGCTTTAGCTAGACAGACTAAGGGAAAAAAGAGAAGATTCAAATAAATAAAATCAAGAAAGAAAGAGGGGACTGGGTGTAGTAGCTCATGTCTATAATCCTAGCATTTTGGGAGGCCAAGGCAGGAGGATTGCTTGAGCCCACGAGTTTGAGACTAGCCTGGACAACACAGCCAGACCCCATCTCTACAAAAAATTTAAAAATTAGCCCAGTGTGGTGGCATGTGCATGTAGTCCCAGCTACTCTGGAGGCTGAGGCAGGAGAATCACTTGAGCTTAGGGGTTTGAGGTTGCAGTGAGCTTTGATGATGCCACTGCACTCTAGCACAGGCAACAGAGCAAGACTGTGTCTCAAAAAGAAAGAAAAGACAAGAAAAAAGGGGACATTACTACTGACCTTACAGAAATAAAAGGATTATAATAAACATTATAAACAATTGTAGGCCAACAAATTTGATAACTTAGATAAAATGGACAAATTCCTAGAAAGACATAAACTAGCAAAATTGATTATTTGCTTTCAAAATAAAACTCTATTGAAATTTCAAAACAAAAATTGATTTAAGAATAATTAGTGTTTACAACTAATTGATCACAACCAGTTACATCCTTTGTTCCTTCTCCACTCCCACTGTTCCACTTGACCAGAACAAAAAAAAAAAAAAAGAATCATTAGAAAATCTGACTAGAGCTATAACAAAGGAAGAGCTTGAGTTAATATTTAAAGAAAAACTTCCCATACAAAAAAAGCCAAGGACAAGATGACATCACTGATGAATTTTACCAAATATTTAAAGAATGAATGAGATCCTTTATAAACTCTTGCAAAAACAGAAGAGGAGGTAATACCTCCTAACTCATTCTATCAGGCCAGTTTACCATGATACCAATGCCAAAGATCTCATGAGAAACAAACAAAAAGACCAATATATTTTATGAAGATAGATGCAAAAAATCCTCAAAAAATATTAGCAAATTGTATATAAAAAGGACTGTGTACCATGACCAAGTAGGATTTATGTCAGGAATACTAAATTGGTTGAACATATGAAAAGCAATGTAATACATCATATTCATAGAATAAAAGAAAAAAACACTATCATCTCAATAAACTCAGGAAAATATATGACAAAATCCAAAATTCATTCTTAATAAAAACAATAAACAAACTAGGAATAAAAGAGAACTTCCTCAACCTGATAAAGGGTATCTATGAAAAACCCACAGCTGGCCAGGCATGGTAGTTTATGTCTGTAATCCCAGCACTTTGGTAGGCCAAGGTTGGAGGATCACTTGGGGCCAGGAGTTCAAGACCAGCCTGAGCAATATAATGAGACCTTATCTCTACTAAAAAATGAGCTGGGCATGGTGGCACATGCCTATAGACCCAGCTACTTGGGAGGCTGAGGCAACAGGATCGCTTGAGCCCAGGAGTTTGAGGTTGCTGGTTGCTGTGAGCTAGGCTGACGCCACAGCACTCACTCTAGCCTGGGCAAGAAAGCCAGACTCTGTCTCAAAAAAAAAGGAAAAGAAAAGAAACTAGACAGTGGTTATGATTGCACAACATTGTAAATATACTAAATGACACTGAATTGTACACTTTATTTTTTTTTTATTTTATTTTTAGATAGAGTCTCACTCTGTCACCCAGGGCTAGAGTACGGTGGTGTCAGCCTAGCTCACAGCAACCTTAAACTCATGGGCTCAAGTGATCCTCCTGCCTCAGCCTCCTGAGTAGCTGAGACTACAGGCATGTGCCACCATGCTTGGCTATTTTTTTTAATTTTTAGTTGTTTGGCTAATTTCTTTCTATTTTTTTAGTTGTGAGGAGGTCTCGCTCTTGCTCAGGCTGGTCTCGAACTCCTGACCTTGAGCAATCCTCCTGCCTTGGCATCCCAGAGTGCTAGGATTACAGGCTTGAGCCACCACGCTTGGCCACCTCATTTTAAAAACATACAAAATGCTACAGTAAGCAAGACAGTGTGATGCTAGCATAAGGATAGATATATAGATTATTGGAATAAAACAAATTACAGAAATAAACCCATATATATGTGGCCAACTGATTTTTGACAAGGCTGCCAAGATCATTCAATGGGGGGAGAATAGTCTTTTCAATAAATGGTACTGGAACAAATGGCTATGCACATGCAAAAGAATGAATTTGGACTCATTCACATCACACATAAAAATTAACTCAAAATGGATAAGAGACTTACAAATGTAAGAGGTAACACTATAAAACTCTTCTAAAAAAAAAGTATAAATCTTTCTGATCTTGGATTAAGGCAATGGTTTTTTGGATATGAACTCCAATAGCACAAATAGCCAAAGGAAAATAGATACATTGCACTTCGTCAAAATTAAAAAATTTGGCCGGGCACGGTGGCTCACGCCTGTAATCCTAGCACTCCGGGAGGCCGAGGTGGGCGGATTGCTTGAGGTCAGCAGTTTGAAACCAGCCTGAGCAAGAGTGAGACCCCATTTCTATTATAAATAGAAACAAATTAATTGGCCAACTAATATATATAGAAAAAATTAGCTGGGCATGGTGGTGCATGCCTGTAGTTCCAGCTAATCGGGGGGCTGAGGCAGGAGGATTGCTTGAGCCTAGGAGTTTTAGTTTGCTGTGAGCTAGGCTGATGCCACCACACTCACTCTAGCCTGGGCAACAAAGTGAGACTCTGTCTCAAAAAAAAAAAAATAATAATAAAATAAATAAATAAAAAATAAAAATTTGTACTTCACAGGACACCAATAAAAGAAGTGAAGATAATCCATTGGGAGAGCAATATTTGCAAATCATATAACTAATAAGTAACTAGCATCCCAAATATAAAAAGAATTCTTACATTTAACTGCTCCACCTAAACTTGTCACAAAAAAAAAAAAAAACAAAACAAAACTCTTACAACTCAATAAAAAGACAATGAGAGCCGGGCAAGAAACAGTGACGCACACCTGTAGTACCAGCTACAAGGGAGAATGGCTTAAGCTCAGGAGTTGGAGGCTGTAGTTCGCTATGGTCATCATCCATCCTGTGAATGCCACTGCACTCCTGGGCAACAAAGTGAGACCTCCTTCTCTAGAAAATAAAATAATACCTAATTTAAAAAGAAGTTGAATAGACATTGTTCCAAAGAATATATATATAAGTGGCAATTCGCACACAGAAATATGCTCAGCATCACTTAATCATTAGGGAAATACAAATCAAAACCTTAAGATGCCACTTCACACCCACTAGAATGGCTATAATCAAAATGATGCACAGTTACAAGTGTTGGTGAGGATGTGGAGAAATCAGAACCCTCATATGTGGCTGGTGAGAATGTAAAATGGTGCTGCTGCCATGGAAAACATTTGTGGATGCCTCAAAATGTTAAACAGTTACCACAGAACGCAGCAATTCCACTGCTAGCGTATATACCCAACAGAAATGAAAACATAGTGTAATCATTCTAACTCAGAGACCCTCAAGTCTATCTTGTGGGCCCTTTGAACTGCAACTCCAATAAAATCAGTACAGAGCAGGCCAACAGGAATGTTCTCTTCAGACTTTTTTGTTGTTGCTTGCCACACTGCCGACAAGTGCTCACTGTCGCAAAAGAACCTTACCTGCGCCGTACTGTACTTGTTTCTTTTCCCTTCTGCCGTCAACCGCGGCGTAGCTTCACTCCAACAAGACCTCAGCGCGCAGCTAAAGAGAGTGACAGAGCGCTTTACGACAGTTGCTTTGAGGCAGCACCGGAGGAGGAAGATGGCGGCCGCCTTGGTAGCAGCTCGGGGAGTAGGGCCGGCACCGGCCTGGGGGCCGGAGGCCATCACTCCAGACTGGGAAAACCGTGAAGTCTCAACGGGGGTGAGGAAGGAGTCGGGGTTCATTACATGTGCTCAAAGCCTTACGCGATGGAACGATAAAAATCTGAGTAGGGTTGAGAGATTTGGTGGGAGTGATGGCGGGGAGGTGGACTGTGTTGTGCTCGAGACCCGGAGAGGTGTCCAGAGGATGCTGGGGTGGTGTGGTACGTTCGGAGTGAGAGGGTGTCCTGAAACGTGGAATTCTGGAAGCCTGGGGGGCGAGTGAAGCCCCTGGGCTTAAGGACGGGATGAGTCTTTTGGGATTTGAGGGTTGGGATTCTGGTATTCTGAGGGTGTTGAGGCCCCTATAAGATTTGAAAGTGGGTCGGCGGCGCACGAATTTCGTATTCTGGAAACTGAGTAGAGGGATCTTTGGGGTTTGTGTATGCTGGAGAATGTGGAAAGACCCAAACTCACTCCTTTCTCCCTTTTCCCAGACCACTATCATGGCCGTGCAATTTGACGGGGGCGTGGTATTGGGGGCGGACTCCAGAACAACCACTGGGTGAGCTCAGGACTGATCGTGGAACGTCTTCCCAGGTTTCCTTTCCCTCCCTGCCTGCCGGCCCACCCTTATCCAACACAGACCACTATGGGAAGGGATGTTTCTTCTCTTTCTAGAGATAAGGATTTGTCCCAGCTTCTACTCTATTTCTAGTTCCGCTCACCATTTGGTGAAATCCTTGCAAAAGTCTGTCTGTTCTCCATCCTGCCTGTTTCAGTTTGGATGAGAACAAATAGGCAATACTGGAATTCCTATCCCTAGGCCCTAAGGAAGTGGATAGTGATGGGATGGAGGTGGGAGGCAGGTGGGGTCTTTCCATCACTATTCTGCCATCCTGCAGGTCATACATCGCCAATCGAGTGACTGACAAGCTGACTCCTATTCATGATCGAATTTTCTGCTGCCGCTCAGGCTCAGCAGCTGATACCCAAGCTGTAGCTGATGCTGTCACTTACCAGCTTGGCTTCCACAGGTGCTATGGGGTAGGGGAGGAACACATATCTGAAGGCAATTGGACCTGAGAAGCTAAATGGCCTGTCTCCCAGGTCCTGACACTTCTCTGTGACTTCTCTCACCGTCTAGCATTGAACTGAATGAGCCTCCACTGGTGCACACAGCAGCCAGCCTCTTTAAAGAGATGTGTTACCGATACCGGGAAGACCTGATGGCGGGAATTATTGTTGCTGGCTGGGATCCTCAAGAAGGAGGGCAGGTCAGACCCTCTTCTCCTCCCCAACCCATTCCTGCTCAACAATCTCCTGCTTCCACCTCCTATACCTGGATACAGCATGCGCACCTATGCACGCTAGTTTTTCTATATTATTAGATTGCATTAATTATCTTTCTATTTATAGTAAGACAGGGTCATCGCTCTGACTCAGGCCTGGTGGAACCCCCCCTGAGCTCGAGCATAGTCTGCTCTCCTCTCCAGAGAGCTATGATTACAGGTGTGAAGCCAACCAGCGCGTGACCTAATATTCCCTTTTCATATTGGCACTGGTCTGGGGGAGGTAGTAGTAACGAGATAAGTGAGTAGAGATGAAACGCGAAATAAACAAAGGATGGGACAGAGATGAAGGCAAGGTTCCAGTTCTTATGGAGCGGGGTACCAGGT